CTCAGAATTGTTGTTTAATCCATTTCTTCTTCCCGAAATTCTCCAAATGAATCCTATCTAGCAACACCCTCTCCCCAGTGCCTGACCAATTCTGGTCTATCCATTTAAATGAGTACCTCAATATAAGAGACTCATTAAATGCATTAACTCTTGCCAAAGTCACTTCTTGTTCTTGGGCTCTTCATCACCCATTTAACCCCCTCCCCTCAGGCTCCAAGTGTGACAATGCTTGTGAGTGCGCGTGGTGCAGGTGCAGGTGCAGGTTTTCTGTTCTAGTGCACCGACATGGCTTTCTCGGTCATCTTGAACGCCCGCGTGAAGGGCGGATGCCGGGTGGCACAGAGCTGGCCCACGGTTCCGGACACAGGTCTTAACGGTCTTAACCCCGCTCTGGGCCACCCTCAGCTGAGCTAAAGCTCACCGGGCCTTCGTGCGCCATCGCCTCAACTGTAACTTCAGCCACCAGGCTCCAGCAGCTTTCCTGTCCAGCGGCAGCTGCTGCAGCAGCCCATCGGTCTCCTAGGCAACCGCGCCGCGCGGAGGCTCGCCCCACCCACAGTTGCCCCGGCAGCCGCGCCGGCCGCGCGTCGCACGTTAGGGTAGTTCACCCCTCCCAACGGCCGTGCGTACGTGCGTCGTCTCTATGGTGGCGGCGGATTCGGAGAGACCGAACGCTTCTGGAGTCTCGGAGCTGCTGGTGTGGACTCTGACCTGGTCCGGGGGCTTCGGGGAGCCAGGCTGAGGGAGGAAGAGCCTAGGGGCTACCCTGCTTCATCCTGCCTTGACTCGGGCTCTTGGGGCCCCTGGGTCGTGGGCCATCACCATTCCTCCTCTGGGGTCCCCCCCGCCATCACCTCATGACTCAGCGCTAGGGTTCCCCTCGCCAGCTCCGCGATACCCTTCCCACACCATGTGACCACCAACCCCCATCACCGTCCCCGAGGCCCTCATTCATTCACATCACGACCCAGTCGCCGGGGGCTTTCCCAGTGCCTCATGTCAGCACCACCCCACCCCCAAGCCCCCATAGGAATCTCGGCTGTCTTCTGCTTTCCGCGCGCCTGGGATCGAACGTCTCTCCCCAAGAATGTTCCGCCGGGAGCGCTCCATCCCGCTTCGAGGCTCGGCGGCCGCCCTGTGCAACAACCTCAGTGTGCTGCCGCTGCCCACCCGCAGCCTCACTCATTTTGGAGTGGTCCATGGACCCAGCGCCCAGCTGCTCAGCGCTGCTCCTGAGGGTGCGCCCTTGGCCCAGCGCCAGCTCCACGCTAAGGAGGGCGCTGGAGTGAGCCCCCCACTTATCACCCAGGTGAGGCGTGGAGCTGGGAGTGGTGTTGCTGAACCCCCCGCCATACCTAGAACCGGGTACTTCCTCTCCAAACCTCAAGGAATAGCCCTTGCCTGACCATCTGAATTTCCACACTTCCGAGTCCTCGTGTCCTCTGCTCTGACTGCTTCTTAATCTGATTCATCTCCCTCTAGATCCACTGGTGTGTGCTCCCTTTCCGAGTATTGCTGGTACTCACCTCTCATCGAGGAATACAAGTAAGAAGAGGACCTTCCTGTCCTCCCCTGCTAGAGTCTTCTCAGCTTCTCTCCAGAGCCCCTAGTATGTGTGTGCTGTCTCCCAGTCGTGTCCCACTCTTTGCAACCCCATGGACTGTAGCCCGCCAGGCTCCTCTGTCCATGGGATTCTCCAGGCAAGAATACTGGAGTGGGTTGCCATTTCCTTCTCCAGGGGATCTTCCCAACCCAGTGATCTTACTTCTAAACATTTCCAAGCTGTTCTCATGCTTAGCCGCCTCATTTGTCATCTTCATACCTTCCTTGTTGTCCAGTTTTTAAGTGCCATCTCCAATATCTGCCCTTTTATTAGTTGTGTGACCTTGGGCAATTTAGTGAACTTCTCAGAGCCTGACTGCCTTCTGTGTGCTTCTAAAAGAAGCGCCTCCCTCCCAGGGTAATTCTGGGGACTAAACAGGCTGAGGTTAACATGCGTATGTGGAGTAGCTGGTACAGAGCGCAGCAAAGGTCAGCTGGGTTATGACCCCATCCTTGCCCTGGTCTTTCAGATGTACGAGTCTGATGGCTCCGTCATGGTCTACTGGCATGCACTGGACGCTGGAGATGCCTCTCTAGGTACCTGCAAGACGGGGTTGGGGTAGGAGTGTTTGCTGGGGCTCGGGGGGATAATACTTCTAATCATTTTCCCCTGTCACACTAGTGCAGGCCGTGTTTGCCCGAGGAATTGCTGCCAGCGGCCACTACGTCTGTGTGGGTGAGGGGGCCAAAGGCAGGGCATTGGAGAGTGCTGAGGTATAGGGGAGTGGGCTTTGACCAGGATGCTGCTGAAGGTCTGAGAAAATTGTGGGGTGTTAGAGAGCTGGGAGTGAAGGAGGTTCTGAGAAACTCCCAAAAAGCCATGGAGGGGTTCAGAGGGGCAGGATGGTATAGGAAAAGGGCAGTGAATGTTGGGAGTGGGGCTGTTGGCACAGTGAGAGGTGGGTTTGTTACTAAGGTTTCTGGGATGGAGGGAGGGCTGAGCATGGTGGCAGGAGATCTGGGAGGATCAGGAAGGCATCAGTGGAGCACTGGTTCTGCAGGAACATGGTCAGGCCGGGTCCTGGTGTTTGACATCCCCACCAAGGGTCCCAACATTGTACTGAGTGAAGAGCTGGCAAGGCACCAGACACCAATCACAGACATTGCCACCGAGCCTGCCCAGGGACAGGTGAGTGGATCCCCCCTACCTGTTCCAGTGAATCTGAGGGCCTTCCCCACCTTGGGGAAGCAGGGGACCTGGGTTCAAGCCTTGGCTTTGCTACTAAGCAGCTGCATGACTTTGGGGAAATTAGTGCACTTTGCTAAGTTTTAGCAACCTCAGGTCCAGTGATGAGTCCCGAAATACTTTACCTTTACATGGTACTTAATAGTTCACCCATACTTTATGATCCTGGTGTGAATGGAGGAGATGGGACCGATGGTTTCTGAGTTGCTTTCCAGCTCTGACATGTGTGGCTTCCTTCTCTGAACTTTGGCAAGGCCCCCCTATTGAGGCCCACCTCGGGTGCTGTCCTCTCCTAGAAGCCTTTCCCCTCTTCTAGCCCCCACTCATCTCCCTTAGCTGAACCCTGAATTGACACTGCCCATAAAGACAACTCTTATCTCCCTGATTAGATTGTAAACCTCTTGAAAACAGGGCATGTATCTTATAATTCCTATGCTACACTACACCTGGCACAGAGTTGGGCCCTTGAGTTCTGCTGGCTGCCTGGGTTGGGGAGTTAAAGAGTCCCAGAGTCTGGTCATGACTATGACTGGCTCAATGCAAGACTTCCAGAAGGTCCTGATATTGTGGCCTAGTTTCATCATTCATCCAATGAGGACAATTACATCCCCTAACACACAGGATGTGTGCTGGGGTTGGGTAGGGAGTCAGACTCTATAAGGAATACAATGAAAGCATTTAATGCTTCCAAGAGACCCTTCGAGTCAGTGATGGCTCCACATCTTCCCATTTCCCTGGAGAGGCAAAGATGCAAATACTGCCTCCCTTCCCCTCCTGCCCTATATACAGGACCCAGCCGGGAGGAAAAAGGGCTAATCCTGCCTTTCCCCTCAGGACTGCGTGGCTGACACTGTGACAGCAGATGACTCGGGGTTGCTGTGTGTCTGGAGATCAGGGCCCAAATTCAAATTACTGACCCAGATTCCAGGGTTCGGGTAGGTGAGGCAGAAGGGGGCTGAGGCCTTCCTGAGGCGGCTTCAAGGTGGGGAGCAGGCTGAGGTCTGGGAAATCAAAGTGCGATGTCGCCCTTGTAGGGCCCCATGTTCTTCTGTGCAGCTGTGGCAGGGGATCGTGGCAGCAGGCTATGGGAACGGGCAGGTGCGTCTGTATGAAGCCAGCACAGGAACTTTACACGTCCAGATCAGCGCCCATGCCCGGGCCGTCTGTGCCCTGGACCTGGCTCCTGAGGTGGGCAAGGTCAGTCTCCAGCTCTGTCCTTGCATACCCTTGTTTCCTGGCGCTGGGATGTTGAGAGGCATGCCACAGACTTGTCTCTGCCTCTCAGGGAAGCCCCCTCCCCAGGCACCTGGACTGGGCTTTACAGCCTGTACCAGCCCTGTCAGCACATCTGACTCCCACTGGTCCTCCTTGCCTTTCTTTAAAATAGCTACTCTCTGCGGCTGAAGACACCTTCATACACATCTGGAAGCTGAGCAGAAACCCAGAGGGTGGCTACATTGAGGTACATGTCATAAGAGGAGTGGAACGAGGCCCGAGGATGAGGCCACAGGCCCTGAGCTGCTGTCTTCTCTCCCAGGTGGAACACTGTCATGGCGAGTGTGTGCCTGACACCCAGATCTGTGGTGCCCGATTTTGTGACCTCTCAGGCAGCTCCTTTGCTGTGACTGGCTATGACCTTGCTGAGATCCTGAGATTCAGCAGCATGTAAGAGAAGAGCAGCCCTCTGTTTCCCTGTGGTATTTATAAAGTACTCCCCTCCACCCAGCCCTTGTCTGGTTATTCAATCTCATGGTCATATTTCACAACTAGTGAACTAAGCTCCAGGGATAAGGGGCTATGGCGGGTCCTGACCAAGTCAAGAGGCAATCTGTCCTCAACAACCAGGTGAAGGGTGATGTTAAATAATTTTAATGGTCAATGTAAAAGTCACGAGGGAAGTGTGTTCCCTCCCAGGGCTCTTCAGTGCCATTCTCAAAGCTGGTTAATGCAGGGAGGTAAGGCAGGGTTGGTTCCAGTTTTCTCCCAGGAAGGGTTTAGGGGGTCCCAGCCAGCCCTAGGAACAAGTCCCTCAGCACCATGGCAACCACAGCTTAAAGGGGCTTCTGCTACCCCTTCTCAGCCTGCCCCGACTCCAGCAAAGGAAGGGGAGGCCAAGCTGGTCAGCCTGCCCGAAAGAGTGCTGAATCCAGAGCCCAGCTGCACACAGATCTTCTCCTCTTCTGGCCAGATCCTGTTGCCAGCACCTTTTCTCTCACACTGGTGACTGGAGCCAAGTGTGGGGTGGGCCTTTGGTGCAGAGGCCTCTGGACCGTGGGGACCGCTGCAGGGGGCGAGGGGCAACCAAGCGAGAAGCCCCAGGGGAGTGGTCTGGGGGGACAGCATCCAGAGAGAATGTTCGGGGTCTCCCCCAGGGCAAGGAATGGATCCGGGCTGGAGCCGGGGCCACCGAAGCAGGTGAGCAGGGGCCAGGCAAGGCAGGCTGGTCTGTAAACATTGCTAGCCAGGGTGGGGGCGTCTCCAGCCTCGCACCCTCCCGCTGGGCCAGGATGTCTGTCACCGCTGCGATGTCATCCAGCGGCTCAATAGCTGTGGCATCAGGAAGGGATTGAGGGGAGGGGAGTCAGAGCTTGGGCCCCAGAGCTACTCAGCCCTGAGCATCACCTGTCATTGTAAGAGGAGGAAAGCAGAGCCCGGATCTCAGCTGAGACTGCATTATCCTGCAGGAAGAGCCCCTCACACGGGCCCCCAGGAGCCACAGGTTCTGATAAGACTGTGGCACGTGGGGGGAGCAGGTGGACAGGGAGAGGAGAGTAGGCAGAAGTAGGTGAAGAAACCAAGAAAGAGGAGGAAAATTAAAGCATTGCCAGGCAGGTGAAGGGTCAGAGGAAGAGACAGGAATCCACATGCAGAAAGGGAAACAGGAAAGAAAAAATTAGGAAAACAAATCCATGAAATGAGTCTGGTTCTACAGAGTTTTGTTTGAACTTTGATGGAGGTGACTTTAAGAAGAATTGGAGAAGGGAAAGGAATCCTGGGTGGGACTTGGGTCCCCAGAGCTCTGCCTTCGCCCACAGTGTGCTTTCTCTGTGTCTCCATTATCTGGGTTCCCTTGAAGCCCCCAGTGCAACTTACCATGAGGATCCCACAGTGCACTTCCACTCACCCATTTCATGGTACAAGGACCTCTGCTTGGCCAGCACTTGGGGTGGTTTCCGAGGAGCAGGTGTTTCAATTTTCATTATTTCATCACAGCACTGCTTCCACTGACCTGAGGAGAGAGCATTGAGGGGGTGGGCTGCCTTCTCCCCTGCTACATTCCCTTCCACACATTCTTGAAATATGCTCATTTCAAAAAGTATTGTATTATTATAAGAATTAGTATAATAATTTAATATTAGTTATATAATTTTTAATTATAAGAATTATCAAATAATTTTATTTTGGTAAAAATAGCAAGCCCCGATCCAGACCCCTCCTCTTACTCATGTCAAAGAAAAGCTGCCACAGAGCCTCCATCCAGCTCTGCAGGGCTCCCCGACTCTCCGCCTGAAGAGTGTGCGTCACCTCTTCCTCCCCATCCTGGTTCTGGATGCTCAGGGTGAAGGGCCCGCCGGCTGCCTGGTCCAGCTCCCCTGCCCAGACTCGAGTGTCCTGGAGGAGAAATCCAAGATCTGCTTCCACCTTCACCGTGGTCACAGGAGTCAGCAGTGGCATCAGGCAGGCTTGGTCATCCCTACCCTTAGAAGGCAGAGCTGGTGGAGCTTTCACTAAGCCCTCTCATTTGCCTCCTACTGACCAGTGTGGAAAGAAATGGCAAGAAAGGACTGGAATGAGACAAGTCATCCTTAGTCAGGAAAAGGAGCAGATGGAGACAGGAAAGGAGGGATAGAGCAAGGCAGGGAAGGTGAGGAGGCAGGCAGGAACAGGGACACGAAGGCTCCTCAATTTATAAAAGTCGGCAGGAATGCCAGCACAAGGGCTAGGAAACAAAGAAGGTCCTTGGACTTGGGCTGGGAGAGAAAACCAGGAAAGGGTAAAGGAGATGCAGACTGGAATCTGAAGAAAGATGGGAGGAGGGTGAAGAGTCCTAAACTGGCAATAGAACCCTCTCTGACACTTGGCAGGGGCTGAGGCTGCTGAGTAGAAGGGACAGTCATTTTCAGTGATGCTGGTGGGGAGAACAAGGTCCCTCGGCTTCCCTGGCCCTGAAGCTGGGTGTGGTGCTGTTGGGGGCAGGAAGCTAGCTTTGATCTCTCTGAGGTCTCTGTGCCCACCCTCCTGGGGCCTGGTGGAGAGGTTCCCGAACCCTGGCACATGATGGCTTCACCACCAGAGACTCCTCACCTTGTTGATTGCGATAGTAAACAGCGGCTCGGCCCCAGGGGCTGTGTCCTCAGGTTGCCGGTAACAGAAGAGGTTTGTGCCTTTCAGGACTCCGTGAACTTGCACCCAGTCCTGCGGCTCCCCAGCTTGCTGCATAAATGACCCAAGGTTTCCTGGGGGAATCACACCCCCAACACCCTTCTTCCCAGCCCCCCACAGAAAAATGACTCCTTTCTGCCCACCCTCCTATCTTACCCTCCTTCCATCTTACCACGCCCCTCCTCCCTCCTTCCTCCACAGCTCTCTGATTCCTGGGTGGCCTGGCTCCCCTCTGTCTTCTCCCACTTCCCTCCCGCTCCCCGGGGCCCCTCACCTGCACCCTGAGGGCACCACTTGCAGTAGGCTGAGTCATGCAGAGGGGCTGAGCCACCAGGCGGCAACACACACTGCCATAAAGGGGCAGCCAGGCAGGGTTCTCCTCTGCGGGGAGAGCAGGTGAGGTGGGCAATGTGAAGGGGACCCTCTGACAGCCCCTCTTCTCGCCACCCAGCACCCCCCCACACACACATACTCACCAGCAGTGGCGAGGGTGAGGTCATGTGTGCGGAACCCATCCTGCACAGCTGCTAGGGTGAGTGTGGTGTGAGCCAAGAGGTGGTAACGAGGACCACTGCAGGACAGAGAGGTGGGCAGCAGCCAAGTGAGGGGCAAGCAGGGTGGCAAGAGCTACGAGAGCTGAGCAGGGCTGCCCCACAGAAAACTAGCTTGCCTCCCCCCACAGGGGTTGAGACAGACAGTTACTGTACTCCCATTAAGTGCTGGGGCCTGTGCTTTAAATGTGTTATCCCACTGTATTCCCACAACAGCCCTGTGAGGTTGGTGGCATTCTTCAGTTAATAGACAAAGCAGCTGGAGGCTTGAAGAGGTTAAGAAGTCTGCCCCAAAATAAAATGGAGGTGGTAGAACTTGAATTTGAATCTGCATCTGTTTCCAAAATAAGCAATCTGTTCATTACCTGCAAGGTTCTCAGACTGCTCCTCAGAGACCCAATGAGTCTAACAGGTGCCTCCAGGGGCCTGTAGGCAACACCACAGAACCTGGGCTATTCTGCTGTAGCCAGGGGCACTGTTATCTCCACATAAGGTGTATCTGTTGCTACAAAAGCAGTGAAGACCCCAAAACCTAGCTCTTCCTGCATTCCTGTTGGTCTTCTCAGTTGGCTGTTTGAAGTACCTGAGGTATGGGCCAGAGTGCCTCCCAGTATGTGACCACTGCTCATTCATATCTGTCTGCATGTCCTGGCAGCCATGGAAAATAGGCTGTGCATGCTAAACACAACTCAGAGATTGCCAGTGGCCAGCTGAGGGCCGGGCAGGACTATAGGTGCTTACCCCACAGCTGGAGTGGGAAGCAAGATGGGACTGCTGCCTGAGCCCCCAGAAGTCTCCAGCGATGCTCGGACACGCCTCCCAGAGGAGCGGCCCAGGGAGCTGCTGAGTTTGGTGGCAAGCCTCTTGGGGGCTCCAGCCAGGGCTCCCTCCTCTTCCACACAGGCCCCGTACAGCTCCAGCCGCAGTTCAAAGTCTGGCCCTGCCTCGGCACTGTAGGAGGAAGCAACGTGGGGTTAGGATGGATGTCGTGCAAGTACAAGACAGCTCCACAGGGAAGGCCCAGCTCCCTCCCTCCTTCTCTTCCTCCCCTTCTCTGTAGCTACATGATTAGAACCTAGTAGAGGAAGCGGGGAGCCACAGGGATGAGGTACCCACAAGAGCACGTTGTTCTGAAAGGAGATGTCTGTGAGGGTCCTGTCCACCAGGATCATCTCTGTGTCCTGAATGTGTTCCCCTATCTGCAGCAGCAGGAACACAGCCCAGCGGTGCAGGTCTGGGGGCCGAGAGCAAAACTGGTAATGATGTGCCCCAAGGGACCCTCCAATCTCAGGGCCACTCCCTTAAGTCTGTCCCACATGCGTGGAACTCACCGCCTTTGTTCTTGAAATACTCTGTGTCCTTCCACATGAGTGGAATCCGGAGATCTAAGGGGCAGAGGGATAGGAATAGATGTCAAGACAGGACAGGAGATCTTATCACTGGGCGAAGAATGCCAGCAGCTGGGGTAGTTGTGTTTCTTACCAGAAATGCAGATCTGGCCACGGCAGGGGGAGCGCTCAGTGGGTGGCCCACTGTCCGAAGGCCTGTGGGCAAATCACAACATCCTAGCCTGGCCCCTTGACACTATTCCCCCTGGCTCTGGTTCCCAAAGGCTCTAGGAACCCCCTGGCCCAGGGCTCAGCTGCCAGGTCCCAGCCAGGCTGACACTGGCAGAGCTGAAGGACTGTTAGGGAGAGTTGTCCATTGAACCCAGGAGGTTGCTGGGCTTGGGAGTACTCGAGGCACTTAGCTCACACACACAGTACAAGCTCAGGCCACCCCCAACAAGCACCCCTCCTGACCGCCTCCCTAGACTCCTGCCGGAAGAAGTGGGGCTTGAGGAGACAGGTGCACACGGAGAGACCCCCTTTCAAGGATTCTTCTCAGGCTCGGAGGAGTTCGCAGGCTGTCTTTTTAGCAACAAAAGAGGCTGCCTGTCGTCACCATCTCATCACTTCAGTAAAGGAGGGTACTCGGTCAGTCAGAAAGTCAAGAACCCAAGCAGGGGACATTTGTGTCCCATTTATCACAAGTCTCTTCATCTTCCCCCCAGCTTTGATTTCTCCTCTACCCTCTGGCTAGGTCGGCTGAGCCTTCCCAGTGCCCCAAGTTGCCCAGTCCCTCCACTGCAGGAGGGACATCCAGCCTTCCTCCCCTCCCTGCCTGTCATTAGAACTCACTGAGCCTGTGTCCCTCTCCTAAGGTGGGCCAGCGTATCCAGACTAATTTATAATTCATCATAATGAAATTAGTGACCTGGAACCGCCTTAAACTAAACGATGTGGCACCGGTAGCAATGTGTTCAGCTGCCAGGGACTTAGGGTGTGCCACAGATCACACTGTATGGGATGTGTGGGGACTTGGGCAAGGCAGAGCTTGTCAATGGCCACCTCTTAAAGACACAGCAGACTCACAGTAGAAGCTGTCCCTGCCTGCTTGCTCTTCAACTTTATGGAGCAGCCGTTGAGGGGTTCCTGCCTTCCCCTGGTGTCTTCATGGGTGAACTCTAGAGGCCTCCTGGCAACCTCTCCTTGTGTGTGAGCTGGAATGGACACTATGCCTGTGAGGGGCCTGGACCTTCTCCCCACTCAGCCTTGTGGGGTCAAACAGGTTACTTTGCCAGAAGCCAATTTTCCAAGTGACCAATTTACCAAAAAATGCTCAGTTCTCAGAATGATCAATTTGCCAAATATTTTCTCCCACATTTTAGTTTTACCAGAGCATCACCTCAACCATCTCACTACAGTTTTGTCAGATTGAGTCCTTTTAGTACATAGTCTAATTATATGAATGGGTAAGCTTTTACTTATATTTTTTAAATTATTATTTCTCCCAATTTCTGCCTCAAATGAGGCAAACCCCAGGTACAATTAGCTACTGTCTGTTACAGTGAATGCTTAATTGGTCATTTAGCAAATTGACCATTTGGTGAACTGGCTTTGAGAAAATTAGCTTTCCAGAAGCTAGACAAACAGGCTCATCAGATCACAGGCGCGGCTTAGCAAATTAGCACTTCTGCATTACTATCCTCAGACTGCCAGCCTCTCACCAGACAAACTGGCTTTACTAGGCCCTAGCAATTCACTAGTGCGCCTCGCAGCACACTGTGGTGATAAAACATCAAGGGGTCTTCTAGGTCCCTAGGCAGTCTTCATCAGGAAGTCGTCTTTGAGGTGCTCCACACTCCATGCTCCATATATATATCCAGCACACCACTATCCCCATAAAGCCTCACCTCCCCCTTGCTTACCGCCGGCCTGTCTTCTTCAGCACCTGTGCCTCCTTGCGCCGCTGCAGCTCGCCCATGTAGTTGAGAATGCGGCTGTTGCACACCAGCAGGCTCTTGGTGGCCTCCAGAGCCTGCTCTCGCTGGGAGCAGGCCGCCAGCAGCTTGCAGGCCCCTTCCCTCATCCGGATCTCATGGTCTAACTTTCTTTGCAACTCTGTGTCCTAGCCAGAGTGGGGATAAGGAAGAGAAGGAAATGTCAATCGAGGGACAGACTGATGCACCCTTCAGTCCCTAAGTGGGCTGTGGTCAACAAGAAACTGATGAACATAGGTTTCAGGCAACTAAAGGGCAGGGACTGAGTCTCAACTTCAACTGCCCAGGAATAACCAGAGAAACTTTGTAAAAATACAGATGCCCTTCAGGAGTATAAATTTTTCAGCCTCTTTGGAGCACAATTTGGAAAAATCTGTAAAAACTACAAATTCACATCCTTTTATCTAGCTATGCATCATCTAGGATTTTACCCTACAGATATAGTGACACTGGTGGGCAAAGCCATATTCATTGCACATCAATTTAAACCACCAAGATTAAAAGTCCTTCAATAGGGCATTGGTTAAATAAGTTATAGTACATCTATACCATGGAATATGGAATATTGCAGACAATAAGGTAGGCATGTATGCAAAATGAAACAATATTCAAAATATATGAAATGAAAAGAGAAAGCAGAACAGTATTACAGCATGCTCCTATTTGGGCACAATATTTATATATGCATATCCATATCCATGCTGCTGCTGCTAAGTCACTTCAGTCGTGTCCAACTCTTCATGACCCCATGGACCACAGCCTACCAGGCTCCTCCGTCCATGGGATTTTCCAGGCAAGAGTACTGGAGTGGGTTGCCATTGCCTTCTCCAATCCATATCCATAGATACACATAAAATAGTGGTTGTGGGGCTGTGAGCCAGGAATGGAAAGTCAATTTATGATACTTTATAAAAATGCTTCTTTACTACCATACTATTGGAAATTGTGTTACCTTTTAAAAAAATTAAATCTTCTGATTAAAAAAAAAAGTCACCAGGCCCCACCTCACATTAGCAGAATAAGAATCTCTCAGGAAGTGGGGCATGTGTGTTTTTTGGAAAATTCCCCAAGTGACCTTGAGGTGCAGCCCAGGCTGAGAACCACCACCTAAAGGGAATGGCCACAGATAGTAAAGGCCACCCTGGGTTACCCCAAAGACTCAAGTGATGAGAGAGGACATCTAGTTGGCCAGGGGTCAGTGGAGAAGCATACTCCCTACAGTGTTCACCCAGGCTGTACAGAATGCAGTACACACCCCACATTTTGGAACCTGCCTCCTGCTGGCCTTCTGAGTATGGGAGAAGATAGAGACATGAAGGCAAGTAAAACAGAAGGTCAGGTGTGAGTTGCTGAGCAGGCACTTAGCAAAATGCCCAACATATGTTATACTTGGAAGGAGGTGGGGGCGGGGAGGAAGGAGTGTGTACTTATTTTGATGATGCTATCTCAGCCCCAGTAACATTCACCCAATAATAACAGGAGAGCATCCCTGTGCTGTCAAAGGCTTCACATTTGAAATCCAGCTGGGAGGTGAGAGATGCAGACATTAATGGCTGCTCTGTAAGTGCCAGGTCATGGCACAAATGCACTCTCAGGAAACAGACCCTATTTGTTTCTGGCTGAGGTGATGGGGAAGGCTTCAGAGCGCAACTGGAAGACTAACCCTATTACAGTATATACAAATCAGAAGCAAGCCAAGTGGAGTCAGGGTTGGAAGAGGAGGGTGAATGTGACTGCCCGACATGCACACCCATCTCCTCCCTCACACCAGCTCTCTTTCACACTCTGTGCCCTTGCCTCTATCCCTGATGGCTCCAGCCTTCAAGTCTCCAAGACCTGAACACCCTAAATTGCTGCTTCCAGGAATTGCCTTGTCCGACCTACCTGCTGATTCTTCCTTCCCTACTTGGGCTAGGCCAGACTCTCATCACCTCTCACCTCATCTCATCGCCCTCACTATCCACGTTTCCCTTCCTGACTCTTTATAAATAGGCCAACATGTGCAATGCCACCTCCACCAGAAAGCCCTCTCAGACTACACAGTTGTCCCCACCTCCACATGCCTGCCTGCACCAGGGTCCCACCTCTGCTAAGGTTTGTTGCTTGCCCACCCCCATCTCATTCTGCATCCAGCTTCTACCACAAATGCCCCAAACAAGTGAGGGGGGTACGGCTGAGCAACATCCTCAGGCCCCCTCCTGACTTGCCTTTTGGTCCCAGCCCCAGCACTCACGAATTCTTCCCTAGCCCGATCCATTGCACACACAGCACGATGCAGGCAGTGTGGCTGGTCCTCTGGGGAACCTCCCCGCCAGGTACCCTGGGGAGCCGCCCCACCTGCAGTGAGCGCCGATGGCATCAGCTCCCAGCTGTCTCGAGAGTGAGCCGCAGGCAGCCCCTTGCTCCCTCGGTGCGCCTGGCCCCATTAGGCTCCAGCGGCTGCGTTAACCAGAGAGACCGAGTGGCAGAGGGACGGTACCTCCAGCAGCACTGCCCTCACCCTGGAAAGGGCTCCAGGCTCTAGAGCTGCTGGAGACCAGGAGACCCCTCCACGTTACAGTTGCTCTCCAAGGTGACTGCTGGCCTGGGAGCTTGCAGGAGGGAGGATGGTATATACACTGGAATACATTGGTATAATGGGCTGCAGAGAAGTCATGGTATCCAGCCCGGACGAGCTGACCTCGGGGCCCAGACACCCTGTCTACCGCTGCCCCCTCAGCCCTCTGGTCTGAATCCACCCTCCCACGCCCCACAGTGGAGAATGCCCTAAAAACCTCCCATCCATTGGGCAGACCATCCTGGGAATCCTGACACAGGATCTGGATCCCAGACCTTCACCCCCTCTCCCTACCTCAGGGATAGCTCCACGTCCCCTCCCTCCCCCCCACCCCATATGCCCTCTCTTCCCAAGCCAGCAGTAGTTTGACCAGGCTCTTCTGGGAAACAGCCCTCAGTTGGATGTCAGCGGGACTGGGTCAGGACCCAAGGGGCTGAAGACGGATGAGTCATGGCCCGAAACCCCAGCACATACTAGGCCCTCTCTGGACATCCTTTCCAGTTCCTCCCACCCTCTTCTGTCTCTGACTTCCTGCTCTGCTTCTCATCACCTTATGATCCTTTTAGAAACTCCACCAGGGCTAAATTCAAATCCTGGCTTAGGGACTTAACTAGCTGTGAGAACTTAACTTCTGGGGGTGGGGGTGGAGGTAGGGGATGGGAGTTGGGTATTCCACCTGCTCCATAGCACTGTTTGAAGATTAAATGGGAAAATCTAACTTCTACCTGGGCCCAGCACTCCCACCTCTTCCTTACTTGCACCTTAAATTGCCTTCTCCAGAAAAATCTTCTGGAATTTACACTTTCACAACTACCCCTCTTGCTAATCACTGAAACATCAATTAGTTGGGGGTTGGCGAACTGCTGAGCCTCCCAGGGAAAGAACACAGCACCCTCAACCAACCAATGGATGAATAAGAGATGATTAAATGGACATAGGTTTGGGTGAACTCTGGGAGTTGGTGATGGACAGGGAGGCCTGGCATGCTGTGGTTCATGGGGTCGCAAAGAGTCAGACATGACTGAGTGACTGAACTGAAAGTGAAATCTAAGCCCCCTCTTCTGTCCCAGAACTTGGGCAGGGCTCCTATGAAGAATAATTACATGGAGGGGGAGGGATGAAGAATTTGAATACTTAAATACCTAGACCAGCCATGTCCAATAAGATCATCCCATCATCCTACAATGATGGAAATGCTCAATAGCTATGACCACATGGACCAATAGACCATGTGGTCCATGAAATATGGCTAAAGTAATTAAGGAACTGAAAATTATTGTATTTCATTTTAATTAACTGAATTTTAAGTGTAAATAGACACATGTAACTAGTAACATGAACAGTGCAGAGGACTAGGGATGGCAAATAGATTTTATCTCATGTGCCAACACAAGACAATAGGTAGTGTCAGAGTCCCACTGGAAACCTTGGGCAACTTTCTGCATATTAGAAAAAGATGACCCTCACTAGGCAAATAACTTAGATAAAGGTGTTTCCTCCTCACACAGCCTGAAACTAGGCCAGGACTCTTGCCACTATGCAATGCCCTTGTGAAGGACACGATCTGCATAATTTATGCCAAGGTTGTGCTGAGAAAGATCGCGAGGCCATGCGTGGATTTGTTGGTTAAGAGTGAATGACTGACTAGTAATGTCTGTCATTATCTAGGGAGTGGAGACCAGCTTGAGGGTGCAAAAACTTGTGATAAATCCCCCTTCTGAGCTAGACTCTACTGTCCAGCCTCTGACCTCCCTCAGCAGCAACCCTCTGCCTGGTTCAGGCAGTTACTGCCACAGCTTCCTCTACCTTTTCCACCTCTGTAAATGACCACACTCCCAGCTGCTTAGCCACATGCCTGAGAATCATCCTGGAGCCCTCTCTTGGCCTCAGCCTCACGTCCAACCCATCAACAAGCCCTGTCAGATCTCCCACCATCATTTCAAATCCACCCCTTTCTCCCTATCTTCACCATGAGCATTTAATCCTCACATCAGGGTCATTCCCCAAAGGCTGTAATGACCTCCTAGCTGGTGGTCACCCCCCCGACCCCTACCTAGCCTGTTCCTTTCAAACACAACAGCTATCATTTTAAAACATTAGGTGAATTGTCCCACATGCTTAAAACCCTCCATGGGCCAACATCACACTTATAGTAAAATCTAAATGACTTGTCATGGCCTTCAAAGCCCTGCATAATCTGGTCCCTGCCCCCCAGTTTGACCCCAACCAGTATGTTTTAGCCACACTGGCTCTCTTTCTTCCCCAAACATATCATCATCATCCTCATTTAAGGTCCTTACTCTGCCCTCTGTCTGGAAATCTCTTCCTCCCATCTTTACATATCTCTATCCTTCTGGCCACAGCTCAAAGAATTCACAAAAGCCTTCCCTGACTCCTACATCTAATGCTGCCTCTCCTACCTAATGTTTACGATACCCCCGTTTTTATCATAATTTCATTGTGAGATTATTTGTGTTTCCATGTTTCTAGGTCCCCTAGAGTGGACCTGTCCTGTTTTGTTCACTGAGGTGTTCTAAGATCTAGAAAGCAGCTGGTATATAGTAGGTGCTCAATAAATGTGATTAAGAATAAACAAATGAATAAACAGCTCCCTGCCACCTTCAGGGCCACAGAATCCTTACATCCTGCCCTAGAATCCTCTTCCCCTTCTCTGGTAAGGCCATCTCCTTTCTGAAGATCACGTTCACAGTGTACTCTCTTCTTCCCACACCGAAAAGGAACCCTCAGCCCCAGAACACACAGCCACACAAACCCACAGAGCTTCCAGCAGTAAGCTGTTGCCAACGCAATACTCTAACTCGCAGAACTGAACCTGGGTCCCCAAGTAGCACCCAAAGAAGGCCACACAGAACCACCTAATCCCTCTTCCCCGCGGAGCAGGCCCAGCCGGAGAGGGCAGCACAGAACCGGGGCTGGGATGCTGCGGAGGAGGTGCACTCCAGGGGTGGGGGCGTTACCTCCAGGCTGAGCGCCATCTGCCGGATGTAGAGCATATTCAGGTCCTCCAGGATGTGCAATCTGTCCTGCATCTCTGTGCCCCCTGGGCTCCCCTTCCCTTGCTGACCCCTCAGAGGGGTGGGACAAGCAAGCCCCACGCTGCCCACAATTCCTCTCCCGCTGCTCTCCTCGTGTTGAAAGAGGTGGGCAGTTCTTGGTCAGAGGGCAGAGGCAGCCCCTGTCCCTCTCGTGCTCCAGTTAGACCCCTCTGGCTGCTGTGACAAAGTCTCCTTGCCTACCGCTGTTCCAGGGCCCTGATGGAGCCAGGCATGGGAGGAAAGGAAAGCGAGGTGAGGATGCGCAGGGTACCCGGAGAGGCCAGCTGCAGAAGGGGCTCTGGGCACAGAGTGTCCAGTCTTGCTTTGGTGGCAGCTGCTCTCCCAGCTGTGGAAGAAAAAGGCTCTTTCATTCCGACTCTGGCCCCTCCCCAGCCCCCGCCCACAACCCTGGCCTGGTGGACAGAGAATCTGTGTGCTGTAGGGTGTGAGGGGCAGGCACAGCTGGAAGGGGGCCGGGAAGGGACAGTTCATGCAGGTTCTGTGGAGCTGTGGGGATTGTCAGGAGGTTGCTTCCTGAAAGGGTTCGGGCTTAGTTTGAGGAAGAAGAGGGATAGAGGTGGGGACTTGATTGCGTGAGCCTAGAAAGTGGGACAGAGGGGTCATCGCGGCCCAACCCCCAGGGCCACCTCTTCCAACTTGGGACCTTCATCCAGCCCGCCCCACCCTGGGTTCACAATTACCTTGCTTTTCCAGCAGAAGGGAGGAGAGGGAGGGAGAAAGGCAGGGGTGTGCCTGGCTGCGCTGCCCCCGCTCCCCTCTGCGGGCCCCTTCCCTTCCAGACAGGAAACCAGCCCCGATTCCCAGCCAGCTGCAGCTTTGCCACCACCGCCCCCCCTCCAGCCCAGGCCCACGGAGTGACACTCCGCTCCGGGGCCCAGCGGCTCCACTCCGGTTCCTCCGCGATGGCCCCCAAAAGGCCGGGCTTCTCCCGGGGGCGGCCCCAGCTCACAGGCCCCTCCTCCGGGTCCCTGGGCCTCGCCCCTCACTCCCCCACGCTGGCCCCACGCGGCGTTGCTTATGCGGGGCTCGACAGAGGCCCTGTCTCCCAGGCCCACTAGCTTCTGAGTCAGAGAAGGCCTGGGAGTGTGGGACACGGGTGTGAAAGAGCCTTTGTTCTGGGCAGGCTGTGGGGTAAAGTGCAGAAGCCAGAACGGGAATCCGGGAGGAGTGAGGAAGGCCCCCTCACTTAACCCTTTCCAGGACCGGCAGCGAAGGAGAACTGACCTGGGGGACAGCCTTTGCTGTCGCCACGGGCCCTCTCAGTCCTAGCTCAGCCCCCGCATCTTTCAGCCCTCCCTGAGCCTCTTTAGGGAATTACAAGTCGGGCTCAGACCTGGGCAACGTGTAGAGTAGTGGGCCAGGGAGGGAACTGTAGAGGCTGGACTCTTCTTAGGCCACAGAAAAGGAGGCTGAAAGCTTGGGTGTGGGAAATAATCCCAAATCGCTCATCGGGAACCCCTCACTTCCGATTCCCCCAGCCACAGAGGAGCAGTTGCGGAGAGTTTCAGCGAAGGAGGCCGAGAAGTCAGTACTGACGATGGAGGCTGGCCCAGACGGTAGAGACGGGCTGTGGCATGCGGCTGGAGGCCAGGGAAGGAGCAGGCACCCCGGCCAGGAGTCTTGTTAGAGCCCGGCTAGTTGCACATCTCCAGGATGCCCAGAAGGGCTGGCGTAAGGCACATCTTAGGAATCGAGCCTAGGACTCCTTAAACTGAAGTTTTTCCAAGCGGAGGCAAATCATCCCACTGGGCCAGAGAATGTCTGGGGTGACACTGCTGGATTAACGTGCAGACGGTCCGCGCCTGACTTAAGTCAACAACCTCTGGTCTGTACCCGACCCACCGCGTCTCCGCCCCTCGGCGCGCGCGGGCGGGGCGGGAGGCCCCGGCGGCCCGAACTGCGGGAGCCGGGGGAGGGGAAGGCAGGGACTCGGGTCTCTCACCTCCGGCGGGTCGCTTAAGAGGCTGAGTCGGAAGCGGCCGCGTTTGAACTCCATCTCCAGGGCAGAGCCCCTGGCCACGGTGACCCGGCTCCGGTGGTTTCGGGAGAACATGCTGGCGGCCCCGCGCCTTTGCCTGCCTTCTGCACTCCCCGCGCCGCCCGCTCTGCCTCGTCCCGCAGGCTTCTTTCCCTCGTCGCCCTTCAGCTAGTCCGGCTGGGAATCTCCCGCAGCCGGATTCCCAAACTCCGCCTCCGTAGACGACACCTGGGCCGGGCAGGGCGCGGCACTCTCTCCCTCCACCCCCCCACCCCCGCCAAAGGCCCTGGCGGCCCGGCCAGTCCCGGGCTGCAAGCAGGCCTACACCTCGAGAGCGCCGAGGGGGCTCGCCGCCGCTAGCGGAGAGGGTTGCGGGCGCCACACCTGGGCGCGGGGCGGGCCTAGAGAAGCCCCGCCCCCAAGGCTGCGCCCCCTCGGCGAGCCGGACTACCTGCGCGCGGAAAACCCCAAGGCCCGGGATCACCGAGAGTCACACCGCCCGGCCCTGGGGCCGCGCCCAATCTCACCCCTGGGCAGCTCCTCAGGGTTTCAACTTCCTACGGCCCCCGATGTCCCTTCTTCGTCCCCCTCCCCACTTTAAGCTCCCCTCCGTCCCTCGAGGCCACAGTTCACCGAGCAGGGCTTAAGCACGCCTGATAACTCTGCTCTATTCGTTACTAACCGTGGATCCTTGACTGTCAGAGAACTTCTTGAGCTTCAGGCTTCTCACTTGTGCAGTGAGGATACAGTAATCACCGCACCCCTCAGGTCGCTATGAGGATTACAGACGAGCATGAGTGCCTGGCACGAGACAAGCGCCCCCTAAGCGGAGCCATGAAGAAAAAGGGTAGGGTGCAGCACCTTTGTGCCCTTGGATGGGGCACCAGCGACCTTCGGTGCCCTGGACCCTGACCGTGACTGCCTTAGAGGGTGAGGATATCTGTTACCTAAGATGGGCTCTCTGCTGCTTTGCTGGGTAGCTGAGACAGGGTTAGGATTCTCAGCTTCTGCAGAAAAAGGGGCCCCTCACCACCACCCCCAGCTCTGTAGGGCAGAAGGAAATGGCAGAGGATTAGTTTGCTGACCATAGATGAGGACTTCCGGGGATTTAGGAATTTACTGGGGAGAACGAGAGAAACAGAGAGAGAACGGTTCCTTCAAAGCTAGAGCCAGAGAAATACCAGAGCCCAGGTTAGAACTGCTGGGCTATGAAAAATCTCTCAACATTCTTTTGGAAAACCTGACTTAAATTTACTTTGGCAAAAGGGGAAATTTATGGCTTAAGGAATGATGATATCCAGGGTTCAGGCTTTAGTTGTGGCTTAACCCACAAGGATTCAGCACCTTGTGAGCACCCACAAGGATCCTGTCTTTCTCCTTCATGTGGATCTACTTTCCTCTCCAAGGGCTTCATTCTCCACAGTACTATAAAATGGTTGTCAAAAATTCTGGGTCTGTGTACTTTCAAACTTAAATGCAGCAGAAAAGAGAGCCTCTGTTTCTTTCTTTCTTTCTTTCTTTCTTTGAGCCTCTGTTTCTTGAAGCCCCTGTGCATGCCTGGGATTCACTATGGGCCATTTCACATCATTTATCCATCTCAAACTGATTTTTATAGGCAGAGGGATGGCCAGACCTGAACCAATCGCTATGGCCAAATAGGATTCCATGTGCCAGTTGGCCAGGCCTAGGTCACTTCCCACTCCTGGAAACCAAATGGAACCCAATGAGCTGGGAGAAAGGGGAGGGAGACATAGGCACTACCACCAGAAAGTGAAAGAATGGATGCTGGACCGGAGAAAACAACAAACATCTTTGTTTGTTGTTTACAGAAGTTTACATGGAGAAGGGAGTTCTTCTGTCAGTAGGAAAGGCAGATCAAAAGATTTTGAAAAATCTGTGGCCTCTGAGATAAATCTCAAATGAAGAGTGAGGGGGAAAGGAAGGCGTGAGTCGAGCAGAAGTAACGCCATGGCAGGCAGCTTAGATTAGGAGTAGGCCTTCCAGCTTCTGGGTGGTAAGATTATCAGGCCACCTGGATACAACCAATCAGCTTAACACTGACCGCTGTTTGGCAATTAGGAATGGGGCGGAAACCCCCGGGAAAGTTCCGTGCATGGAAGTTTTAAGTGTGTTTGACCAATGAAATTGCTTTGCAAACTTGTAACCAATCCGCTTAAACCAACTACCAACGGCGTGTGCTCACCCTATAAATTTGTGTAACAGCTTGGGCTCGGGGCTCTCTGACCCCGCACCACTGTGTTGGATGTGGCAGGAGCCCTGACTCGAGCCAGCAATAAACTTCCCTTTTTGCGAGTTGCATTGCCTTGGAGACCTCCTCTCTTCCTGCTTGGGGATTCGGACATCATGCATAACAGAAGGCATTGTTTCTGAATTTCTTCAGATATCTATCATCACTCTTCTAAACTGTAAGCTCCCCAGGGAGGGACAGTCTGTCTTATCCACTACTTTATGCTCAGTGCCTGGCACATACGAAGTTCTCAATAAATCATTGGTTGAAGTAAATGAACAAATGAGATGCCCAAAGGAAACTTACAGATTTGAGAGTGCTTGACTGGGATGACCCATGCTGTGGGACTAAAATGGTTTGTTTCAAATGTTTAACTTTTAGCAGCAGAATGCTTTTTTCCCCAAATGAAATGTCACCTGAAATATATGAAATATGATCACAGCTGCTGTAATAGAAGCAGGGTCTGGAGCCCCAAACCTTGTCCTCTTCAGAGGCCCCCTCAGCTACATGCAGGGACACACACACAGACACACACACACACCTGTGTGTGCTATACGGGAGGGTTTGAAAACCCCTAACAAGAGCTGGAGAAATGGAAAGCATTTGGAAAGGAAATAGAGCTCAAATCCTGCCTGAGAATTTGCACTTGATGTGACTTCAGATTTTGGGAAAGGAGTGACACGACCAGAGTTATATTTTAGGGATCATAGTCTGACATGCATTTGCATAAATCTGTTGGATGAGGTTGTGTGTGGGGTTGGGGAAGCCAGCTCACACTGTTCTCAACTGAAGATGGAGAGACAAGGGCCAAAATTTCTGAGGAGTTATTAATTTTTAATTAAATTATTTTTTGAAAGTGCTCATTCAGTTTTTGAGACATTTCTTTTTCTACCACTTAAAAAATAATACAAAGTAAAAAATAAATGAACAAACCACACTTTCCCCATAATCACAGAAAAACACTGACACAGTTTGGTGCCATGGAATGCTGAAGCCTCATACTAGCTCATAAGAGAAAATTGCTGAATTTTCTGGAATTGTGCATTCCAGCTGTTAAATACAACTTTGTTGTCGCTCAGTTGTGTCTGACTCTTTCTGATCCCATGAGCTGGGCTTCCCAGGCAGCACTGGTGATAAAGAACCCTCCTACCAATGCAGGAGACTTCAGAGACTTCAATGCCTGGGTCAGGAAGATCCCCGGGAGAAGGGAATGGTAGCCCACTCCAATATTCTTGCCTGGAGAAGCCCATGGACAGAGGAGCCTGGCAGCCTACAGTCCGTGGGGTCACAAAGAGTCAGACATAACTGAAGCTACTTAGCACACAAGCACATGGACTGCAGCACGCCAGGCTTTCCTGTCCTTCACCATCTCCCAGGGTTTGCTCAGACTCATGTCCAGTGAGTTGATAATGCCATCCAACCATCTCATCATCTGTTGCTGCCTTCTCTTCCTGCCCTCAATCTTTCCCAGAACCAGGGTCTTTTCCAATGAGTTGGCTCTTTGCATCACATGGCCAAAGAATTGGAGCTTCAGTTTCAGCATCAGTCCTTCCAATGAATATTCAGGGTTGATTTCCTTCAGGATTGACTGGTTTGGTCTCCTTGCAATCTAAGGGACTCTCATGAGTCTTCTCCAGCACCAAAATTTGAAAACATCAGTTATTTGGCACTCAGCCCTTTTTACGGTCCAGCTCTCACATCCATACATGACTCCTGGGAAAACCATAGCTTTGACTATACGGACCTTTGTCAGCAAAGTGATGTCTCTGCTTTTTAATGTACTATCTAGCTTTGTCATAGCTTTTCTTCCAAGGAGCAAGCCTCTTTTAATGTTGTGGCTTCAGTCACCATCTGCAGTGATTTTTGGATCCCAGGAAAATAAAATCTGTCACTGCTTCCACTCCCCCCACACCCCGCCATCTATTTGCCATGAAGCAATGGGACCGGATGCCATGATCTTCATGTTTGGGTTTTTTTTTTTTTTATCTTAATGTTTTGAATGTTGAGTTTTAAGCCAGTTAAATCACTCTGCTCTTTCACCTTCAAGAGGCTCTTTAATTCCTCTTCACTTTCTGCCATTAGGCTGGTATCATCTGCATATCTGAGGTTGTTGATATTTTCCCCCACAATCTTGATTCCAGCTTGTGAGTCATCCAGACTGATATTTCATATGATGTACTCTGCATGTAAGTTAAATAAGCAGGGTAACAATATACAGCCTTGAAGTACTCCTTTCCCGATTAGGAACCAGTTTGTTTTTCCATGTCTGGTTCTAACTGTTGCTTCTTGTCCTGCATACAGATTTCTCAGGAGACAGGTAAGGTGATCTGGTATTCCCAGCTCTATAAGAATTTTCCATAGTTTGTTGTAGTCCACATAGTCAAAGGCTTTGGTGTAGTCAGTGAAGGAGAAGTAGATTTTTTTTTTAACTCCCTTGGTTTTTCTATGATCCAACAGATGTTGGCAATTTCATCTCTGGTTTTTCTGCTTTTCTAAATCCAGCTTGTACATCTGCAAGGTCTTGGTTCATGTACTATTGAAGCCTAGCTTGAAGGATTTTGAGCATAATCTTCCTAGCATGTGAAATGAGCACAATTGTATGGTAATTTGAACATTCTTTGGCATCACTTTTCTTTGGGATTGGAATGAAAACTGACCTTTTTCAGTCCCATGCCCACTGCTGAGTTTTCCAAATTTGCTGGCATATTGAGTGCAGCACTTTAAAAGTATCATCTTTTAGGATTTGAAATAGCTCAACTGGAATTCCATCATGTCCACTAGCTTTGTACATAGTAATGCTTCCTAAGGCTCACTTGACTTCCCACTC